CTGAGAGAATAATCAACATTGTGCAATAGATAGACTAAACAGCTGAGGGACACTGAATCACATTTGTTGTCGCTTATGGCTCGGGGTCATCTGCACCCCGTGAAGGATGTGTTCCAGGTGTCCCATAACAATAACTCTCTCCAACCGAGAGTTGCCCGGTCACAAACTGGCAACATCAACAAAATGCTAGGGCTGCTCAAGGCTAGGCATCTGTGTCAGAGGGCGAAAGATGAAATTATTCCCCAACAGTTCCTCTCTTTTCATCAATTTTGATAACTTAAAAAACCCTATTTTTGTTCAATACTTAAATCAATGGGAATCTTCAGAATTGAGTGTGGACTTACACAACATCAATCACATGAATAACAATCACATTAAGAACAACACAATAAGATTGAAACGTTCAATCACAATGATTGAGACAGCCAATCATAATAAAAAGATCTTCTCTCGCCAGTGTTTGGATCATCTTTTGTCAAACGCATAATAACGAACACATATACAATCACAGATATATAATAGCAAAAACATTCCTTTAAACTAATATGTTTTTAACATTTACTCATTAGTTAATTTTATTTATCAAACTATAAAATCAAAACCACCTTGCAGCTTAAATATGTACTTTAAGGCAATCACTTAGTCAAAAGCATTTAAACTTAGGATCATAAGAGATCCAGCTAAGGTATAAAATCAGGATCATAAGAGATCCAGCTAAGGTATAAAATTCACAGTGGTGATTTGATCAATCTGCAAAATTGCAATGTCTTCAATTTTAGGATTACTTTACGTTTACTTCATCACGTATGAAATTGAAAGACTATAGCATGATAACATAATTACATTACTTCAACTATCAATCATTATGTCATTTCAAAATCTGAAGGGAAAATTAAACAACTCTCAAAATGTTTAACAATCTGAAAAAGGAATAGTTAGGCAAATATTGAAAGACTTTTGTAAAAACCTGGAAAGGAAGGATTAAACATTCTTAAACATTGAATTCATGCATTTGTAAATGCTACAACTGATCTGTACCAAATTAACTCAATTAATTATGCCTATTAGCCATACTTACCTGAACATCTACTTATGGTACTTGGAAAGGATTCTTCTGTGTTTATCTAATGTTGAGTATAGACTATCTATTTCTTTAAATTATACTTCTCTAATTTGAGGATCAAATATGCTACATAATTGTTATATGAATTTTTATAAATATTTGTTTTGGGCCAAATCTGAAATGAATCGAGTACTTGAAACATCATTGTAGGTCTGTCTGTGCATTGAAGAGTAGTGTTGTTAAGCCTGATTGCTGACAATTAAGGATATTAACATTATCTGTTATAATATTAGAAATATCTTATTATTCAATACCTTATAATCTGAAAATGTCAATTTATTTATTTTGTTTAGTGTGAAAGTGTAATCTGATCTGACAAAAATATATTAATCACCACTATTTAGCACATGTCTGGTCATTGGAAATATAAAAAACAATCATTAATTGTACATCTGTAAACATCTGGTCATTCAATTCAAATGTTATCTTTGTACGAGAGCTGGAAGAACATGTCCTCCTGATTTAGTGGGAATGCTGTTAACAGTATTCCAACTAAATGTTCTTCTACACACGAAAAGTTTATTATTCCGCCGACTTATTTTGCCGCGCTTCTTCTCCCGCATTGAACATCGCAGAAACTCCGTTCAAACATCAAAACGTTCAGCTCGGTCGGGAATCGATGGCTATTACTTTTCTCATTCATAACTTTCATAATTCCAGAGATACATCCATGCTTCACGTTTTGAAATTTCACAGATGTCTGTTACGGTTCTTCCACAAAACGTTCACATGTAAGAGGTTCATCTCTCATTCAGAACAATGAAGCCTTTGAAGTCTCTGGCACCCCGTTAGCTCAACTAGTAAACACCTGTGCAATGAACACGATGAGTCATCACCCAACTGACATGCCAGAGCAGCAGACCTTCAGATAGCATGGTGCAGAACAGTCCACCGTGAAGACATCTATCATTTTGAGTTTCTTCAAACGACTGCCGTTGCCATGGCAACACAATGCTGCCTGTGAAGCACGGTTTCTCCTCATACACCTTCAGTGAAAAATACTCTCAAACAGCGCCCAGGAACTTCCCAGGTTTGGTTAAGCGATGCGCCATCAACGCATCTAAGCGTAGTATGGGTGTCTCAAATGCCGTTGCCATGGCCGAACGGACCACTCGCCATGAACCCATGTGGCTGTAACGTCCATGACCACGGTCCAATCGTCCCCATCTCTTGTATATCACCGTCCATGCCTCAACGACTTTCGCCAAATCGAGATCTCACCATAGCCGTTTCCATGTATAACGCATCCCTCGCCATAAAACAGTGATGTCGGCTATATACTCCTATGACAATGTTTCAAAAAGTGCATCAAACTTCACATGTGTGCTAACCGTCCAGCCGTGAAGACACCTACGGGACAGTTTTGAAGATTTCTCAAATGCAGTTGCCCATGGGCAAACAATGCTCTGCCTTGAATCACGGTTTTCTCATAACTTCAGTGAAACTGCTCCAATACGCCCAAAACTTCACAGGTTGGGTAACGATCCAGCCATCAAACGCATCTAACGTATTAATTGGGGTGGTCATCAGAAATGCCGTTGCCATGGTCNGCACAGCAGCCAAGGTTACAGGTGCATGTGCTCAGTCAGGACAGTTTGAATTGTTGGGGAAATATTTTTCAAGGCCCATAACTTTGACCCAGTTGATCAGTTCAAACTGTCCTGACTGAGCACATGCACCTGTAACCTTGGCTGCTGTGCTCTGTGTGTTGTCTCCCTGTTCCTGCCTGTTGGCGTCAGCTGATAGAGGTGTTATGATTCTGTCATAATGTTGATTATTCTGTCATAATGTTGATTATTCTCTCTGAACTAGCTAAATACATGGGTCTGGGGTAGAGTTCTTCAGAATTGATTGTGGCTTCTCAACCGTGTGGTCAAACCATGGCCCGTGACATGTCTTGTGAATTCTCCGGCCGAAGCTCCAAATAAACCATCAGTGTTTGCCATCAATGCTCCAGCTCTCCTCGTGTCTCTCTGAGTCCTGACTCCAATTGCTTCAGAAGTTTCCCCCACATTAATGATATGTAATATATATACTTTATGTTTATTGTCTGGACCCCTGTTCTTAAGCTTCCTTTAGCTTATTGGGGTGTCCAATTTCACACCTACATTATGTCCTATGATTGTACTGTTAATCTTGTGAATAAATAAATAAATAGGCCATATTTTTTACTTAATAATATATGGATTCAACTCAAAAGTTGTATAAAGGCTTCTCTGACACATAGACAAGAATTCGACAGCACACTTTCAATATATGGTGTTCTGGATGTAACTGAAAAAACTGAGATGTTGACTTGAATGAAATGTATTACCATTTCTTATTTAAACTGAACATTGTTGCTTGCAATTAACCTAATACAGTTATGTGAACTCTGTTGACATATCCTATTTTATTAAAACCAATGTTTCAGTTTTTTCAGTGCAGACTCAGAGGAAATAATTCCTGTAAAATGTAAGTTTTTCGAGGAAGCTTTGACAGGCTTTCACTTTTCCCGATATACAGTATATACACCCTCAATCTCAGCATGGAAGCGAGCACAACGCATGATACATATTAAAAAATACCAAAATGGTTGTTGGGGGCAGACGATTAGTGGCCTATCTTAATAATTCACAACGGTTTTCAAACCCAGCAGGGAAATGAGTGTGAGGCCTGATTTCACAGCTTGTTAACAAAGGGACTTGTGATATTATTTAAGAACGAGGTCACTCACAGGGATGCTTCGTGCATTATGAACGCGTGACATCATCAGGCCTGCTAATTAGAGATAATAACCTTGGTCGATTTTGATGATTGACATCTCTTTCTAACCGTCAGAGCCAATGAAATCGAGGGAAAGTTCCCCATACACACACAGGTTACCAAATAGAGTGGCGAAGTCACGCCCATCTACTTCGGTCCATGGGACCTTATTTCGGAAAAATAATGTATTGAAGTCAATGAAGAGAGAAAACTTATCTTTCGATCCCGTTTGAATTGTGGCATGAATTACACATGTGATGTTTGTCAATCTTAAAAAATAATTTCCATGTCAAAAAAGTCAGTTTGTCGTAAAACTGTTGAAATATAAGACTATGAAAAATACGAAACTAGAAAGACTACAAATCCCAGAGTAGCGTAAGTGATGTCACAATTGTTTTCCTCCACTAAGAGATAGCTAAGATCAGAGTATAAGATAAGATCACTTTAACAAGATGCCTTTGTGCTTAGTACCAGGTTGTTATCATACCAGCAATGGTTCTTGCTCGTTCTTTCGCTTCCCGTCTGATGAAAGGACCAGGAGTGGCTGGATCAAGTTAGCTACCTAGCTAGTAGCTAGCACGTGAGTTAGCATTACAGCCTTGTCATTTTTATTAGCCTTAACATGAAGTGACATTAAGTAACCCAAAATGTTAAACAGTAAGAGTAGTAGTGAAAGCAATTCTAGAACCCTGAAGGCAGGAGAGACTGAAAAGAGTCAAGGGAAGCTTATAAAAGTTAACAGCATTTAATTACACAAAAGATGCGGTGGTGTACAAAATGAAATGTGCGAGTGGAGGCGCTCTCCACATCCGACCGGTCAGTTCAGGTCAGGGGGTCGAAGAGATCAATTCTTGGGCTTGCTCTTCCTGTTGTCATCGAGGGTCTTCCTCCTATTGGCCGGCGTCATCGGGGGGGCGGGTTCCAATGGAATTCCTGCCTTTTCTGTAGGCTAAAATGCATCATTCTGGCGTCCTGTGGTTATTCATAAACATTCCCTGCTAAACATATTCAAGCGATCAATAAATGATGCTAATCCGCAGTGTTTCAGTGTACAACATCACATGTCATTTCACCATTGGTTTCAAAGGTTTGAAGATCGTATGAATTCGCCAGATGCTAAATTAACCGGAAGTGACACATTTTAGATAAAAGTGTTACGCTAATAGTAGTAAACTTCCGGTTTTTCAGAATAAAAACTGATTAAATCAAATAGTGTATTTAATTCAATTACGGCCATATCAAACAATGAATTTTAATTTCCTAACAGTAGTCATATTTCGTAACCCTTTGAAGAGTACTGTCAACACCCGGTTTGATCATTCTATAATACAACAATTTTAAGCCGGGGGAGAAAGCTAACGCTACATTAGCATCTGCGATCTTTCCTACTATCACGCTATCTGCACAAATGGTGTGACATTAAAAAGACCAGGCAGTTCAGAGAGAATCAAATGAAGGCAAGGATAGGGCAGCTTTGCAATGACATTCTTCTGGACGGTGTTTCATTGTGTGGATAGTGATCGTTTTCTGTTTGACAAGACAGTAGTGGACAAGCCATCTTGGTGACGTGTGTTGTTCTGCGCGTTGAGATCTCCCCCCGTTCTCACTCCCAACCCGTCACATATTGACGGACGTCAGGCAGAGTCCTGCATCGGGTCCCGGGTACCCTGCGGGTACCCGACCGCGATGACCCGCAAAAAAGGTGATTTGCGGGGGCATTTTTTCAAAACACTTTTTTCCGGGTTCGGTTCTGGGTAAAACAAAAGATGATGCGGGTCGGGTCGCGGTGGTTGCATAATAAGATATATTTAAATAATAATAATTTTAGTTTAATTATTAAATCCTCAGACCTCCTCCGCGGGACCAAGTTGCAATTCATACTTCTGTAAAGCAGCGCATCAATCTGCTTCTGAGCGCAGCACACAATTCTGAATGGCTGAGGTGAAGCTTCCTAAGCGAGATACAGCATTTTCCAACACTTCCTCAAGAGCGAAATCCAACGTCTGGGAGACATTATATGAGTAGCAACTACACATTGATGGAGAAGAATAACCATCAATTCCCA